CGGAAGCAAGCTGGAAGCAAGTTTGCAGATTCGGCCAATTAATCAAACACCATCATAGCCGTGGGAAACGATCGGTTCGTCCAAGTCTATCAAGGTTCGCGTGGCAAACGACACGTCAGCATAAGAGGTCGTTCACTCGAGCAGGCTGTACGACGGCAGTCAGTGGTCTGAGAGACAGCAAAAGAGAAGGTCCAGCATGAGGATCCGTGCATGTATGTAGTTGCGTGGGCGCAGGGTACCAAAGGGACGTACAAGTGCATTGCGGCGTTCGATTTGGGTTCGGATTCGACGACCAGATGACGAGTCGAGTCAAAGTCGAGTCGAGACCCTGCTCGCAGTCTTCTCGCGCGAGAGACAACGTGTGATCTCCGCGGCGAGTTTGCATTCGCGATAAGCGAGGTTTTGATCGCGGCTGCAATGGAATCGACTTGCGCGGCAAAACAAAGGCACCCGGAGGCACGCGGGTGGAAAAGGTGGAAACGATGGGGCTGTGCGCAGAAAGGCGCCGGGGAGGTGGAAGAGACAAGATGGGGGGATGAATTGGACGTGGAAGCGCGGAGAATTGGATTGAATGTCATGAGGCGTGGACACGGGCGGTGGCGGCCTGCGAATGGATGAGCCGAATCAGCTGCGATCAGAAGCGGTCGGAAGCAGGAGGAAGGTGAAGGCAAGATGACAGCAACGGGCGCGCGGGGAGCGGGCGTGGATGCCGAGAAGGCCCGATTGGAATCTGGGCGAGCATCACCGCCTGCCGGGTGATGTCTGAAGTGATCATGTGTAATGCCGCTGATCTCTGATCTCGCGTGCGGCCTGCTGCCCTGGCGCCGGACCTGTTTATATACCCCGCCCCGTCACGCGTCCACCTTTTCGCCCCGCCCCGCCTGTCCATGTCCCACCGCCACGTCTCGCGCCAGCAGGACCGCGAGGTCCGCATGGCCGACCCATCGCCGACCCTCGCCCCCCACATCAACGGCGCCGCCGCCCCCGCCGTCAACGGCGCCAACCACTCACATCATGTCTCCCCCGCCGTCGCCCACTCCGTCGTCGTCAACGGCACCGCGCCCTTGTCCCTCGCCCAGAAGCTCAGCCGTGCGAACGAGGACACATGGATGCTTGTCGGTAAGTCGCATACCCCAAAGCCACAGTGCGGTCGGTGGCTTACTCCATCCCCAGGTCGCGTAGCAGAGCAGATGGGAGAACTTGACCTAGCTCTGTCCGCATACGAGAGCGTGCTGCGCCACAATCCAAATTCTATGAATGGTCTGAGCCAGGTCGCGAGCATCGCGCGCATCAAGGAGAATTACCCGAAGGTGCGTCCTCGTGTTGTGATTTGCTTGGCTGCCACTAACAATACCTTCCCGATTAGGCCATCGACTACTTCCAACGCGTCGTTGCCGTGGAAGATCACAACGGAGAAGTATGGTCCGCTCTTGGTATGTTGAACGTTCACTTCCCTCGGATCGACCTGACATCCCCCAGGCCACTGCTACCTGATGCAGGATGACTTGCAGAAGGCGTACACCGCCTACCAGCAAGCGCTATACAACCTTCCCAACCCCAAAGAAGATCCCAAGCTGTGGTATGGCATCGGCATACTGTATGATCGGTATGGGTCGCTTGACCACGCCGAAGAAGCGTTTTCGTCTGTGCTCCGTATGGATCGAGGTTGGTCTACTCCATCTTTGAGGAAAGTTAGCAGATGTCAAACTCATTGTTAGAACTAGACTTCGACAAGGCGAACGAAATCCTCTTTCGCCTTGGGATCATCTATAAGCAGCAGTGCAAGTTCAACGACTCCCTCTCGTGCTTCCACCAGATACTCCGCAACCCTCCGAGTCCTCTGGCGCATGCCGACATCTGGTTCCAGATTGGGCACGTCCACGAGCAGCAGAAGGATGTACGTTACGTCACAGTCATTGGCGGATCACGATACTCATATGTCGTTGCAGTTCGTGCAGGCGAAGGAGGCGTACGAAAAGGTGGTCCAGGATAATCCCAACCACGCAAAAGTTCTGCAGCAGCTCGGGTGGCTCTTCCACCAAGATGGATCTTCGTTCCAGAATCAGGATGAGGCCATTCACTGCCTCACCAAGAGCTTGGAAGCGGGTACGTCATGTTGTGCCTTGGGCGGCTTCGTTTTGCTGATCGTTTTGCAGATTCTTCGGACGCGCAGAGCTGGTACCTCTTGGGTCGTGCGTTCATGGCCGGTCAAAAGTACAACAAGGCGTACGAGGCGTATCAGCAGGCCGTCTACCGGGACAGCCGCAACCCGACGTTCTGGTGCTCCATCGGGGTTCTATATTTCCAGATTAACCAGTTCCGGGACGCGCTCGATGCGTACTCCCGCGCCATCCGCATCAACCCTTATATCTCGGAGGTTTGGTTCGACCTTGGGAGCCTCTACGAGTCGTGCAACAATCAGATTTCCGACGCGATCGATGCGTATGCGCGCGCTAGCGAGCTCGACCCGAGCAATCAGATTATAACGCAGCGCTTGCAGCTGCTCAAGAGCGCGCAGGTCAACGGTACTCGTGTCGGTGCGGCGCCGGGCCCGCAGGACGTCCATCCTACGGCTTACGCAAACGTCGTACCGCCCGGGCCTGGTGGTATGAGCGGGCTGCCGTTGATGCTGCAGGCTCCGGGTGTGACGCCTCGTCCGGGACCCCTCAGGACGGACTCGCGTGGTCCCGGTAGTGAGATTGCTCTGCCGCCACCATCGCAGATGTCGATCGCGGGTCGTAGCGGCTCGCCGCCCTTCCGTGGTGGTCCGCCGCCGCCTGTGGTGCTCGACGACCGTCATCCGCCGTCCCACACGCCCCTTGCGCCGATGGAGCTCGATCGAGGTGGTCCGCTTCGCGATGGGGGTCGCTCGCTGCTCAATCGCGACAGCGTTCCGCCGCCCCCACCGCGCACGAACGGTCACGTCGACCCATTTTACAATCGCGGTCCCCGTCCGTCGAGGTCGTCGTCGCCCGCGCCACCGCCTACGTCTCTGCTCGGAGGTCCTCGCGCTCGTTCTCCCGAGCAGTGGCCGCCGCGGCAGAACGGTTCACCTGTCATGTCAGGCAGGCAGTTTGCTGCACCGCTCCCCGTCTCGCGCGAGTACGAGTCGTCGCCGATGGATAATGTGCGCTCCTGGAGTCGGAGTCAGGCTGCACAGCAGGAGATGATGCGCGGCCCCGAGCCGCCGCGTCGTGAAGGCTCACCTATGAGCGATCGTCAGAGGTCGCACTCGCGGTCTAGCGCTCGTCGAGGCTACCCGGCTGCTCCTGAGTCGGGTCATAGGATGCCTCCGTACGAGCGGGAGCGGCCTAGCCGATACGACCCGCTCATGGATGCAGCGGGAGAGCGGGAGCGCGAGGCGATGGAGGCCGACAGGCGCAGCCAATTCGAGCGCTCGCCCGAGGGCATGCGGGGTGCGCGTCTTCCTGGTCCGGGTGCGCGGCCACCATCGTCACGCAAGAACTCGATCAGCCCGGGGTCGCGGCCTGCGAAGCGGCCGGCTGCCGAGCCGCCCGTCACGAACGGGAACGGGAACAAGCGCAAGCGGCGCGCGACGAACAAGTCGTCGGAGTCAGACACGCCCAAGCCCGAGGGGTGGGGCGAGTCGTCGTCACGTGCCCCGCGGGCGCGTTCGCCGGGCATGATGAGCAGCTCCGGCGCATCCTCGTCTCGCTCCGTGCAGCCTTCGCCGACGGGCATGGCGCGCCCGCCGGAGCGGGTGTTGGACGAGGATTACGATGAGCCAGCTGTAGCGGCGGACGCGCTCATGGGTCTTGCGTCTAGCTCTGGCTCGTACCGCCAAGCCGAGGCCGCGCAGTCGTCCAACTCGCCGACGGTGTCTACCGGCAGCCGCCATAGCGATGGCACTCGTGTCCTTTCGCACCGTAACTCGGTCTCGTCCCAGCGGAGTCGTCCGTCGCCGCCAGCGCCAGCCGCGCCGTCGCTCAAGCGACCTCCCAGCCATGGCGCCTTCGAGGATCATGAGCCGAAGCGGCCCCGCATGGACTCGTCATCGCGCCGCCCGTCGTCGCCTTCGCAAGGTCGTCGTTCGCCGCAGCAGTCGAGTCGCCCGTCGCCCATTCCTTTCCGCACGCAGCCGTCGTCGCGCTCGCCGGACACGCACGAGCCGTACGGTGCGAGCCCGTCATTGCCGGCGGTTCTGCCGCCGCATCCGCGTCCCATCGGCAATGGTGCAGGCGGGCAGGGCGGCTCGCCGTCTATCGCGCTGCCTCCGATTGCGACGTTGCAGTCGTCGAAGAGCCCGCAGGGCGAGCGGGACGAGCAGATGCAGGTCGACCGCAGCCGGTCGGGGACGCCGAGACAATCGCCCGGGAACCGCGTGTCGCCGCCAAAAGGGGAGAAGGATTGAATGAGGTTGTTGAGGGACGTTGTGTATGTATTTCTTTCCGTATGCTTGCCTTGTATGCTGCCGATGCTATGGCGCGCAGAGACGATACCATGAGATTACCTACTGCTACATCTTACGCAACATGTATCATACCATGCACTCTATCTTGCTTCATTTCGTTGCGTATGAATTCAATCGTTGTTCTTGAGGTTCTCCGCTGTCGTGTTCAGTTCTGCGTGGTGTGGGCTGGGTGTGGGTGAATGCTCATGGACGTTGTGACTTGGCCATTAAGGCCGTAATGCGTGACGGCTGGTAGTGACATTAGGTCACTTCGATGTTGAACTTGTCGTCCTCGGCCGATGTAATGAGAATCTCTTTGAAGTACTAGGGCACATGTCATGGCAGATGCAGCAGATATGTAGGAATAACTCTATATAGCCACAGTATATGTTATATAGCCTTCAAGTCAGGCGAAAAGTCAGGACGAGGGTGAGGTTCTCTTTCGAGGTATAATACAACTTCCAAGCGTCTACCAAGGCCTAAATGGAACGAGCGACAACCTGTACGCATGCTGTAGTATGCTAGGAACAGCCCGAGTGCATGATACTGATGTACATTGCACATCTTCACGTGCAAACATAAAAAGACGAACCGCTGGCGAGATTCGAACTCGCAACCTTTGCCTTATTCCGCGATAGGAAAGCAACGCCATAACCATTAAGCTACAGCGGCTTAAGAGCTACCTGTAGGTCTTTATTTCATGCCAAACGGCCAAGAAATGAAAGAGATACGCGCAAAACATTGGAGGGTCGGCGGCGGAAGGGTTGGCGGCAGAGTGAGCAGGGAGGCTGTCAACGCTATGTCTGATAAACTTTTTTGTGACATGTTCCCGCGCTCGACACAGCATTTAGGAGGACATCTGCTCTGTAGTGTGGTGCTGCACCAACTCGTTGAACACAACCATTCTGCTGCGACGAGTGCGATGTGCGGGCAAGAGCAATTCGCGAGACGTATGCAAGACAAATAAATAGTACACTGCAGTACACTCGGGGACGCGTCTACTGGGCCTCGTCCTTCTTCACTTCCTCAATCATCTGGTCAACGCCGGCGCGACCCATGCCAGGCGGCAGATTGAGCGTCGCGAGCCTGGCACGCGCGGCCTGCCTCGCCTCCTGCAGGAGCGTCATGTCCATCACGACGAGCGCCGCCATCGCCTCCACAATGGGCACCGCGCGGGGCACGACACACGGATCGTGCCTCCCCCGCGCCGCAAGCGTCCCCGGCACACCCGCATACGTCGACGTCGCCTGCTCCTTCGAGATCGTCGCGGGCGGCTTGAACCCGATCCGGAAGTAGATGTTCTCCCCGTTCGTGATACCACCCTGCACACCGCCGCTCCAGTTCGAGCGCGTACCGAGCTTGCCGTCGGGCTTCGCGTAGAAGGGATCGTTGTGCGCGCTGCCGGTGGCCTCGGTGCCCTGGAAGCCGGACCCGATCTCGAAGGCTTTGGTGGCGGGGATGCTGAGCATGGCGTGCGCGAGCTTGGCCTCAAATTTGTCGAAGACGGGCTCGCCGAGGCCGCTAGGGACGCCGCGGATGACGCAGGTAACTGTGCCGCCGATGGAGTCGTTCTTGGCCGCGGTGGAGGTGATGAGCTAGGGAGGGGTTAGTTGGGAGCGGCGGAGGGATGGGGTGGCATACCTCGGTCATCTTTTCGCAGGAGTCGGCGTGCGGGCAGCGGATGGTGTTCTTGTCGACGTCGTCGCGGGTGACGGTGTTGAGGAGCTTCATGTAGTCGGGGGTGAGGATCTCGTCCTCGTCGCCGCCCAGGGTGCGCGGGACGTGGACCTTGCCCACGCCGGAGACGAAGGCGACGATTTCAATGCCATATACCTCCTTGAGGTATTTTTCTGCGATCGCGCCCGCGGCGACACGTCCTAAGGTTTGTTAGCACTTGATCGGGGACACGCACGCAATGCTCACCGATGGTTTCGCGCGCAGAGCTGCGTCCTCCACCACTGCTGGCCTTCACGTCGTACTTCTCGAGGTAGGTGTAGTCAGCGTGACTGGGGCGGGGGTAGAGATCGGTCTCGGAGTAGTCGTGCGGGCGGTGGTCCGTGTTCTGCACCATCAGCCCGATGGGCGTGCCCAGGGTGATCCCCTGCTCTGTGCCGGACTGAATCGCGACGAGGTCGGGCTCATTACGCTGTCCCGAGCGTTAGCACGACAGATCGGTGGAATGGGGTGCGACATGGGGATGTGCGGGAGGCAGGTTAACGTACGGGTGTGGTGAGGGCGCTCTGGCCGGGACGTCGCCGCCTTAGCTGCACCTGGACGTCCGCGTCTGTCAGGCGCATGCCCGGCGGACACCCATCGATGATGGCGCCGACAGACTTGCAGTGGGACTCGCCGAAAGTGGTGACCCGGTAGAGACTGCCGAACGTAGACATGGTGGCGGAGTCGTTCGAAGACGAGAAGGAGGACTGCTGCGATCGAGATGAGACAAGCACGAAACTTTTCTGGAATGGGCGCAAACAAAGGGGGGGAGCGTGGTCGTGGACGGTGGGGGAGGGGGGCAGGCAAGTTTTGTTCGGCGACCCGTTCGAGTCACTAAATAGGTGGCTGGGGTGCCGGGTTAGGCGCCGGTGTTGTCCAGATCACGGCCTTTTGTTTGGCATCAGTCGCGGTGTTACCGACCTTTTATCACCCTTCCGCATACCTCCACGCGCCACCCGCCGCTACACACAATTATGTCCACCGCCAGACGCAAGAAGACGCACACCCACGACGACGCGTCGTACTTTGCGCCCTCGGTCGCGTCGCTGACAGGCCCCGGGACGGTGGGCACGAAGCGAGCGCACCCGGACGACGCACGTCCAGGAGGAACCAAGCGCAAGAAGGTCGACGTCCCAGTCGCAGAAAAGACAACGAAAGATGAAGAGAGGGCATGTCCGGTACGTGCGCTATACATCGCCCGCCGCCACACACTGACCAGCCCCCGCAGATCGACTTCAAGACCCTTCCCCCGGCGGTCGTCCACAACTACCTAGCCACCTACGACCTCATACCCCCGATATACCCCTCGCCGCTCGCCAAGGATGATCCCATGCCACCGGCGTTGCTACTGCACGCTGGTCTCAACAGACAAGCGAGCCCACCGCCTCCGCCTCCCCCACCCGTGCAGCAAGGCAACTCGAGCGCGACACCCGCCAATCGTCCGAGGCGCGACCCTATGACGATCAAGGAGCGCGAGTCCAGCAAGCGGCGCAGCGCCCGCCTGCTCGAGGACGAGGAACTCTGGCGCGCGCGCCCACCCATCCTCAATGACGTCAAGGAGCTGAACGCCGTGCTCAGCGTCCTCGCCGAGCGACATTTCGTCGGGGACATCGCTTTGCAGGGCTATGGCGCGTCGGGGATGGGTACCGGTATCCTCGGTGCTTCGGGCAGCACTTGGGGAGTGAGGGAGGAGGTGGACACATTGGCTGCGTTCATGTGCACCGTCGAGAAGCATAAGAGCGCTGCCGCGCTGAACGGTGGTCGATGTACATAGCAGGACTCCGTAGCCTGGACTATACCCTCTTGATCGCAATGGAATACTAAGAATCTGGTCTTACGGTGCCGATGAGGTAGGAAGCCAGACGGGTATTGGCCATAAGTAGAACAACAACATACGGATACACAGGAAGGTATAGATAGAGGGGATACAGAGCAGAGGCTGAGCCGCGTATATTAGTCAGTCCTCGATGTCAGAGTCGTCGATACAGATACAATGGCAGCAGACGATGGGCTCGAGCTGCCACCACCACCACTGTCCGAATGTCAGCGAGGGTCGGACTGTGCGGCAGCAGCGGACGCACATTGCTGTTCAGCAGCCTGCCTGGCCACTTGCCAAATACCAAGTCGATCTCCCGGCGCAGGCGGTCCTCGTCGTCCTCATTGTCCTCCGAGTCGTCCGCATAGATATACCGCCGCGTCGGGATCGCGCTCTGCATCAGTGGCGTTCCCTCGTGAACGGTAGGCGGCCGCCCCGCACCCTCCCCCTCCCCCTCGTCGCCTTGGCGCTGCTGCCGCCGCCCACTGCCGCCCGCCAGCAGGCTCACGCGCTGCCCGAGCGTACCCCAGCCCGGCCGATCGCGCAGGCTCTTCTCGCCGTCGCGCCACCGCAGGGGCGCGGTGATGCTCGACGAGTCGGAGATGGTGGACGAGCTCGAGGGCGAGCGCGCGCGGAACGCGGCGGGCGGCGTGTCGGGGAGAACGAAGTGGCGGCGGACGCCGGACGCGATGCGCACACGGGAGCGGAAGCGGATGCTGCGCTTTTTGGAGTCGGCGGTGGGGGAGGAGGGCGTGTTGGGGTCGCTGGACGCGGGGGAGAGGGGGGACAAGGGCGAGGGGGAGGCGAGGGGGATGGGGGAGGCGTGCTCGATCATGCAAGAGTGGGGATCGTCGGGGTCGTTGAGGGAGACGATGTAGTGCTCGCCGTGGGCGACGATCAGTTGCTCGTCCGGGCGCAGCCCGCTGTCAGGGGGCACATCGACGGGCCGCACGTCCAGCGAGGGAGAGTTGTCCTGCGCTCGCGCGCTAGGGGACGCAGAGGTGGACTCGTCGGGCGGAGTATCATGGTCTTCTTGTATAAAGTCTCAGTTTCAGCTACCGCGGATGCTGCTAACATGGGCGACGACAAACTGTGGATGACTGCTATTCCCTGTGGGGCGTGCGACGGGCCATGCACTTCGCCCATGGACTACCTGGACGCCGGAAATGAGAGCAAGAGGCAAGGAGAAAGGTCGACGAGTCAGACAGAGCGCGCGGTCAAGAATCCCGCCGTCATGCCTGCCGTAGTTAGAGGCTGTATGTAAATATCTGCATCGTGTACATCATCGAGAGATAGCGGCGGGAATACAGGTGCCACGAGGCAACCCCTGCCGATGACGCCGTCTTTGAGAGGGATCTTGCTGCCCCTGATGCGGGCGGGCGCCTGACCAGCATCGCCTCAGCCACCGGCGAGGCGCGACCGGCCTACTCAGTGCGCAGAATCTTATCTATCGCGCTGCTCACCGCGTCGGCGTCAAAGGAGGCTCCCTCGATGGGTGTGCATCGTACGCCCAACGACTGCAATGATCGTGAGGAGAAGGATGCGGCGCAGCACAAAGGGACTCACGGTGATCTTCGCGACATCGACATCGACCTGCGCCTCCTGCGTATACACAAGGTCCGTGACGAACGCAGAGATGGGGTACCGCGTCGTCGCATTCCCCAGGCCTGCATACGCGCGCCCGTGACCGTACTGCGTGTTCAGCGTGTTCGCGATGGCGCTGCATCGATGCCAATCAGCTCAGGCGCGCATCTTCGCCTGAAGGATGGGACGGACGCACAGTACATAGTCAGTGGCGCTATACCCGTCCGTTTCGCGATCATTCTTGGAGTTCACTGCTGGGAGTCAAGAGCTTGCCGAGTTGGGAGGTGGGAGTGGGTGGACTGACGTAGAAGAATCTTCGCGCGGAGAGACCGGGAGCGGGCGATGGCCGAAGCGACACCACGCAGCGCGAGGCAGGGCATAATACTATGTGGCTAGTGTGAGGCGTGGGCAGGTCAAGTGATGCATGGGGAGGTGCGCACCTCGTCCAGAGTGAGCCGCAGGAGTAGACTAGGACGTCGGCGCGGTTGAGGCTGTTTATGTACTCCGGATTTGGCGAGGGGTGGATCTCCATCCCGTATGCGTTGATGTAGTACAA